CTGTGGGTAGACATCGGGGTTATTTATGATATACCTTTGGTTTTCTGTGCGCCTAGTAAACCTGATCACTTATTTAATCCTTTACATTCGTTGCGCCATTAGTCGTATTTCTGTAGTAAAGTTAGCATCATACAGAATGCGAAATAATAATTTTGTGACATTTTTTGAGATCATATTTTGTTATGGACGTCCTCGTCAAACTGTTAAATAAATAAATTATGATGTCTGTTGCTATGCGGTGAATTTCTAAACAACAGAATCTAAACGTGGCTACCAGGATACCATAATAAAAAGGATATTGAAAATAAACTCGTGCGCTTAGAACTTTTGACAGATGTTGAAAGGGGACGATTGTAACCGCCCCAAATCCTGTTTCACTGCAATGATTGGTGGAATGCAAGCATCAGGTAGTCGGTTCAGTAGAAAGAAATCATTGTAATAACAAAGATTTAGGAATTACATTTACCTGATAAATAGGTAACTAAAAAAATTAGGAATGTGTTTATTTAAAGTGTCATGTGTATTGTTCACTTAGTTTGTAATTCTATTGTTCTGTCGCTGGACATCATTCACTTGCAAAATAGCCTCGTTTTATTGGCGCAACCTTTTTCTTTTCGAAAATCCCTAAGGAAGCCTGTAACGGCTAAATCCGGCGGAGGCCAGTTAAACGCGGAATTTCCGGTAATTGAGACTCATTCACCGAAAACGGTTCTCGAAATCTCGCATTGTTTAGGCTTCTGAAATAATCCATAGGAAAATTTCTTTTGAGGACTTACCAACAATCGCGTTATGCATTGATATGGCTGGAAAAATAAGAAGTCAAATTGTTAACTGGCTTGTAAGGATATCAAACACGTGGAAACGCTTTCGGCGTAGGTACTCGGATGATCCAACTCGGATCGTATCTTATAGGTAATATACTCTTTTTTTATGGAATAGGAGGCAAACGAGCAGACGGATCACCTGATGGTTAGCGATCACCGCCACCCTAATACTTGATTCAAATGTAATATGAACTGAAATAAATACTAATTGAAAACGAATTTACCTAACTAACCATATAAGAACAGTCTGTTCATTTAACTTTAGTACCTGTAAATGCCCTAACATGTGGAAACAAATTTAGAAAATCAGTAAAACAACACGTTTTTATTTCATTTCCGCATTGTTTTGTTGGGGATGTAATTACCGGTACGCAGTGCAGGACACGGGTCATACAAGACACAAGCAGGGAGTGAGGCGCGCGCCATGTGTCGTGTGCCGACTGCCGACTCAGTTCCATAATAATTTATCACGGCGTGTTCTGCGTGAGATTTTACGGGCACTTTGTCTCTCGTAACTAATGCCTGTGTGCGCACGCCTTTTTGAGCTTTCATGTTTACCCCACATTTAGCTTATTTGACAGCTTTTACGATACTACCTTTATTATTTACTAGCCGTACACGTGACTGCGCTCACATCGAATGTTTCACTTACGACGATAACGGTCTTCCTGCACTTATTTTCTGCTCCGATATTGATCGTGATATGTTCTGTGGCTATGTTTAATTTTCTTGAAATAAAACTAATTACAATTGCGCTTGTAGTCTGAAATAAGATGAATGATGCAATACGAGCGTATGACCAATACTTCAGTTATTTATTAATTTGTACACAATTACACTAAATTGCTATGTTATAAATCAGTGTTGGTATAAGATGCATTGGACAACCAGTAACAGGTATAATAAGACTAAAAAGATTGTGTATATTTTAAAATGATCTCTCATTTAAAATGAAAGAAAGAGCCGACGGAGGTAGATGCAGCAGGGCAGGTCGGCTGCGGCAGAGATACGTGATGTCATCGCATTTTAATACATCCGCGCGGAATATTTCCCAGCGGGAGGCCGCGGCGGAGAGACGTCCACTCCTCGTAATTACACCGCCGCAAATGTTAATGCGAGTGTTCGACTTGTCTCACCTACAGCTTTATGTTTCGGCTTTCTACCCCAATGCCCTCCGCGCAGGAAACTCGCTAATATTTTCCCTCCAGTCAACTCATGCGGACACGGGTCAGGTAACTGTTTTCGCAAACTAACCGCTTAGCGACATCACATTAGGATAACTTTGACCGACATTTTTGTTTGTGTGCAAACGAAAAGTTTGCAACTGCTTTAGTTTAAATCCTTTATTCGTGAGTGTAACTTCACAAATGTTAATGTGAAGGGGTAACATCACAGGAGCACGATACCTACTTACGTTCACTGTTCAATTTTAGAATTAATTCAACGTCAGCAGCAGGGTTTAGCCACCGCCTCTAAGTCGGTTTTAGAAGTGTTAAATCCAAAAGCAAAGCGGATCGTATCTAAAGATAATAAGCTTACGAGCTGCGTCCCAAACGAACCCTCGTCGAGCCTACCTGCATGACTGCGTGACACGGCTCGCCATGACAACTCCAACAGATAGGCACTAATGAAATAACAAGCGACGAGTGCCAGCGTTATTATTAGACACCATAACTGGATCTGTCCGGATATAGGGTTGCCGGCAATAATAACCGGCGGGCAAGCAATCTAATTACCAGCCCTGCCGCCGTCGTTCCGACCGGCTACCGGTAATAATCACGTTTATAAGTGACAGTCGCCACCCGTTACCGTGCCGTACTATGCGATTACACCGGCCGCGCCGCCGACACCGGCTCCCGCTCAGATCGCATACTTTTTATCGACGTCATAATTTTTAACGTCGGCACTTTAGGGTTAAGTGGACTTTTCCCCTTTGAAAGTTATAAGATTTGTCCGGTAATCTCGTCGAATGAGGTTATGATACTCATAGCTTCTGCAGCATCGAGTCTCGTCACCACCACTACAATAAACCCATTTTTTTATTATCTAGACGTGTTAAATGAAAATAAGTTTAGCCTTGGGATATTATCTAAAATAATATTATTAATGAGTTTGCATGTGGATTTGGATCAGGCCACTAGAATTAATTGTGATTTTAAACCACATAAAATTAATGCCCTCTCTGGTTTGGCAACATGTTATTTAAATATAATTACAAACATTGGTCTCATTTGTGTATATGGTTAAAATAAAAGCTTATTAAGAAGGAGTCTTTGGAATCTGCCTCCACCTGAAGACTGCCTCGTTGGCCGAGTGGTCGCAAGTGCCGGCAGTCGCACTTGCGACCACTTTGCCAACGAGGCAGGCAAGTGGTCTCGGGTTCGATTCCCGGGTCGGGCAAAGTATTAGTTTTTAAAAATCCTTAGTAGTAGCACGGAGACTGGAAATGTACCCGGTATATGGCAATAGGCTCACCCCCTATTACATGGGACTCATAACATAAATAGTGAAAAGTGGGTGTTACTTCTGTGTGCACCTCTGCCTACCCCTTCGGGGATAAAAGGCGTGATGATGATGTTATGTCTTTGGAATCTGTTGGAATTTGGATTTGTGCCAGATTATTGAGCGAGAATGGATTCCTAATTCATACAGAAAATGGCTTGATTTTGCCTGAATACGAGCCATCCCGTTAGTCACAGGACCGCAGCAGAGTCACATGTAGGAAGTGCAAGCAACAACTTACTAAGCATTCATGGGGTTTTGGTATTGTCCTACACCTAATAGGAAGGCCATTTACGTATGTGTGAGTTATTTGAACAACCAGAACAACCTGTGCCTGACCATGTGAATAGTTCCAGTGTCTGGCAAATAGCTAAATTAATACATAGATTTGCTGTTGCTTCAATGTTGTTAGAAAGTGTCAAAATATGAACACAATTCTTTCTAGCCAAAATATAGGATATGGTTTTTAGTGAAACTTACATACTTATATCAGAGACCGCACACGCTGCAATCCGCAATCTTTTGCTTACGCGCCTAAAATCCCGTATCAGCCCTGCATGCCCGCATCAACCCCATGGTACAAAAACTCCTCTATTTTCATGACCGCCTAGTACCGCAACACCATAGGGGTAAAACGCCATTGTTATGCTAGGGGTTAAACCACACCAACACGATAACAAAAACCATGACTGAAATAGTGTTTACGTTAGAGTAAGATAGAAATAGTTAAGAAGGTCGACCCACCCATCTCCTATTTAAAAAAATGTAAGAGTAGGATAGCTTTAGCAATTATAACGTAATTTTATAGTCTTTTAATTGAAAGACCAAGGTGTAGTTTAAAAAATACATGGCGCACCGAGTTTTTCATTCAAACACAGCTTGTTAGTGACGACTACATTTTTCATGTTCTTTGCTTATGGCATTGTGAAGAACACAAAAGGCCCGGGCACCAGGCTAGCAGAAGCTATACAGAGATTGACCGATCGCGCAAATTGAATGTCCGTCGAACACGGCGGGGGACAACACCCATTGTCCGGCAGCTTTTCAAGATACAGCCAATATTTCACTCGGTCACAAAATGTTCTATTGATGGAAAAAATGGGTAAAACCAAAAGACACGTACAATGTCCATTGACGACCACTCAGCCATGCCACCAGAGGTCAAGTAGAAGTAACTTTATTACTTTCTGAGAAGTACTTTCGTATTAAATACCTTTGTTCCTCTTTAGGTTTAACTCGCCATCAAAAATCCATTGTCTTCTCGAAGTACAATCTTGTCGGGCATAAAGTAATTACAAAATTTTGCTACACCACAATCTCAGTCAGTGTAATGTTCAAATAAAAGGTTCTTTATTCTTTTTAGGGCTAACTCGAGTTACGTGCCCACTAAAACGAATTAAACATGAAGCTAATTTAATTTTCGCACAGTGAAATCAGTCCTGGACAAATGTTTACAGTTTTTATTAATAAATGGTAAATAGTAGAATTACTAGTCATTTATTTAAATCAGCTCAAATCAAACTTGTTTGTCTATTGACAGATCCGATGTTGAGAAATTCAATAATTCTTATTAGGAATTTTACGTGTACACAAGTAGAAGTAAGATAATACACTGAAAAGTGAGTTGTGTGTACGTCATGAAATTATATTTATTTATCTTTTTTTTGTTCGCAGCTCGTGGGCGGCGAGTTCGACATGGAGCTGAATTTCGTGATACAGGACGCGCAGAATATTCAGCACATGTTGGAACTGCTCGACCACTGCCCACCAAGCTTACAGGTAAATATAACAATATTATTCATAACTTATTAACTAAGTACCCTTAACTAATCGAACATCACTACAACTTTAAAAGCTCCTTTTCTCCTAAACCTGACATTTGCAGTCATAAAACAACTTTCGACTCTAAGGACGACGTGTGCAACGGACAACTGAATATTTTTCAATACAAAAGAGCAGTATTCCAGGTATGAAAGGGACAGAAGATGGAAGGCCTTTTTTTTTGAAGTTCGGATAAATATTTTTATAACGTGTTTATGAGATGATACCTCTTTCAAACACATGATGTTCTGGTATGAATTTAGATCAAGTTAACCCTTTAGCTGGTTTTGCGAAGAATTTTTAACGCCTACAATTCTTCAGATTAATAAAATGTAAGACGAAAATGTAATTAATAATTTCTTATCTGCAAAGAGATTTAATAAGCGTCTTATAAAAGGTACGATGGGTACGGTGGGTGCGATAGAAGATAGCAACGCGAGAACAATTCGTGAGTCATTGTCCCCTCAGCACATCTTAGCGAGGTTCAATCTCCTCGCTTGTTCTGTGATCCTGGTACCACAGACGATCTTATTGAAAGGGGTAACTTGGACGGGCAAATATTTGAGCTAAATATATTTTTAATTTAATTATGTTTCAAAGGGAATTTTCGTTTATTCTGCATACGTCACATACAAACCAATTAAATATTTCAAACGTATATAAACAGTATGTAATAAATAGTATTATTTATTGCCACGAAGCTTTGTCTTGTCGTTAAATATTTTACTTGCGAGATTTAAGAATATTTCTCTCTGACACACTGCTGACGTCTGACTGACAGTAGACATCTAAGAAATAAAAATTGTTTGCACGTATGATTCCCCCGCGTATCCTGATATCATATTATTCATATTAAATTAAATATTAGTCATATCCAAAGATATTCTAGGTGACAGTACATGAGTACAGTATACAAACATGTTGTTTTAAAATCAACAGGTGAGTCGCGAACACGAAATGTTACCTACTGTAATTAATTATTAGTTTACGATAATACTTAGTTTGTGTTTGCTTGTGACGTATCATACCTCCACTAACGTAAACTGTATTAATTGAAACATAAGTACAATCCACAAATACGATGATACTAATAATAGCTCAATACATACATACTTACAAATATTAATTGAATGGCCATGAATTGTTTTAAGAGAAGGTTGCTCAAGATTGTATGTAATAATGTAGTAACTAGTTTATTATTTTGTCCATTGCTAACAGGTTTCCGTAGTGTAGTGGTTATCACGTGTGCTTCACACGCACAAGGCCCCCGGTTCGATCCCGGGCGGAAACAGATTTTTTATTGTGTCAATTCTATTTTTATATATTTTTGCAAGTGCAAGGTTCTAGGTTTTTTTTAACATTATTATAGTGTATACAAACCATTATTTTGGAGAAAACAGTCCATTGTTATTTTAGTTACAGCCACGGCGGAACTTAGATTGTTTATTTGAACATGGCTTACATAAATATGGATCAGATGGTCGTATTGTGTCCACGACCTGTTTATGCATCATAAACTCCTGGTAATGCCGATTTGTGTATACGAAAAAGTCATGAGTCACATCAATGTTACTCTATTTATTCTGTGGTATAAGTACTTACTATTTATTGGTAGCATTGCGTCTAATAGGAAAAAATGGAAAGGAAAAGATCATAATTTTTCAGCTTCAAAACAAACGGCTTCTTCCGCAAAATGTCTAAACTTAGTTGCATAACCAGTAACGACATCACTAGTCTTTTCATAAAATCAATAGTAAACTGAACTGCCGCAAGAAGAACAAACAACTTCATACTACCATTTCTACGTCCTAGATCTGGGAGTAAAGTATTCACTGTAAATATTTATATAGCAAACAACATATTCAATCATTTAATTCCTCTCTATTAACTACAATTAGAAGTCACCGATTCAATAAATATAGTTAAATAGTTCGGTAAGAGGTGCTTTTTTATTATCTATTTTATTTTGGGGGTTTTTAACCAATAAGCTACGTCAGCCCCATCGTAGCCCGAACTTATCTATCATAAAGCATTTTAAATTAACTAAAAATTAATTAGAAGTATCAAATACCAGCGGGTCATCACTGTTGCAACATCCTTACTCGTGCTGCATTGCTTAAAGGTTCTTACGAAATACTAAAAAAGACATAAACATCCCAAATCATAGTATTTTTTTTTATTTTATTAAAATATTGATACCTACTTTTATAGAAACACTGTACTGTTTAAGCTCTATAAAGATATTTGATCCTCACAAGGTCGATAGACATTACAAAACTTTAACGTGGGAGCATTGTCTGCACCGCTGTGTATGGATTATATGGATTCTTGTCTTGGGTGTTATGATATTTATAGCAATAAATGCAAGCAACCACTAAACGAGGTTTAAGTTTTGATCTCTGGTTTGAGACTCATGCGGAGTTATGATATCCAAATTCATCTGCACAATATATTCTAACATGATTGGTTATTTATTTGTTAATGACTTAACAATATCGTGTAAAAATAAAGATGTGTCAATCAAGTGGGTAACGATGTTTACTTCCACCGTGAGTTCATGTGCAACTCACTACAAAACATAAAAAACCTTTCGTGTTTGTGCTTTGCAACTTATGTCTGCTTGTTAAACTCACAATTCTTTCACTAAAAAATAAATTTGTTTCTTTTACGAAATCGTTTGATGCTCATAGAAACATTCAGAGTCCCGGAAAAGAAAAAAGTAAAAATCTTTTCTGCAGGTATTTGTTTATCTACCTCAGTAGATTTTCTTTGAATGGAATCCAATACATTTGTTTTGCAGTTCCGAGTATTGAAAATAATAATTTGGACCTCGTTCATAGCAAGGGTTGGCTGTTTATTTTCACTTTGTGTGACTCACTTTCACTATTGTTACGTCTTTATTGGAAAGACAATTCAAATTTTTGATAAATCGACATTTCTGTTGTTACATTTCGAAGTAACATTCGAATTTACTCATAAATTCGTTGGCCAATCCTTTCCAAAAAAACCAAAATAAGAGAAGTCTATTATGAGCTAATGACAATATTACATTTCACGGCTGTGCACTCTTTACCAGGCTCTCCAGGAATGGTGGAGACGTATATTTTTCAACCTGCCTTCAACAATGTAATGAAGTGATACATCAACCGTATGCGTAGCCTTACTACCAGGACGTCGGGAGCGCGGCTGCCACTCAGGCCGTGATGGACGACGCGCCGACACAGGGAATCCGCCGAGTCATCTTATGAGAAGTTTTTCTTTAGGCCCGAGTGGGAAGCACCGGCCCTGTCAGACGTCAGTCGATGGTTTTTGGCCAACACTTGTGCAGCAACGATTTTATTAGCCTTGTTATTACACTTTTTGTGTTAGTCATGTTGGAAAATTAATAGCTTTCATGTTTCTCGAGCAATTTTCGTTATTAGTTGCCTTTCGAAGAACTAAACGCAAGTAATAACGAAAATTGCTCAAGTAACGTGTCTCAATATTATGATTAATGAATATTCGGATTTTCTTGTAGTAGGTATAATTAAACAGAAATGTTTTCTTGTTGTGCAGTCGGTAAGACGTTTCGTTACCGGGCAAACATGAGCCACGAGACGTTGATGAGACGAACAGTGAGTTTCATCAGATAATGATGTTAGGCAGCGGATATCATTACAGACATAACACATACGATCCTGCACTCTGTAGTACTGTCTACGGTTAGGGGAGGAAACTTTGTTCGCTGACTGTTATTTGTTGTGCGACATGTTTTAACGAAAGTTTGTTTTCCTTTACAAATGTTTCCATCAAATACAAATGCTTTATTAATTTAGAAACAATATGTCTCGAACTGGTTAAGTTACCCCTGTGACTTAGCTACCGTTTCCAATGTCGACTTCATGTTCAAACAAGTTTACATTACTTAATTAACTGTTATTTAAAGTCTAGAAATAAACAAGTACAGGTTAATTATGTACCTCTACAATAATATTGCATCAATGGGTACTTGAGTCGCATTGTTTTTAATTTTTTAAAGCTCGTGTAATTGTTAGACCAATCAGATAACATTAAAAAACCAAAATCTTATAAAATAATTAAAATGATAAAGCAAATAAAGAAAACATGAATTTACACAATAATAGAATATTCCCCTAATTATGCGTAATCACGGCCGAAATCAAAGTAATGAAGTGACCGCCTTTACAAATTGTAGAAATAAAAATACCTTCCCGTTCCCGGGTGAATTGCGCGAATTCTCCGTGAACTTGTAATTTCGCCGAGATTGTTCTGCTAACGGCAGAAGAATGTAATATAATTACAACCGGTCTCGTTAGAGCTGCGAGGGGCTTTTGTAATGCAAGTACACCTAGCTTTACTGGTGCCCTAGTACCCCAGTGTTCGGGTTTGTTCTGTTCGCGCATCTGAACAATGGAAAATAGGCGGTAAAATCATAAAGGGTTCTGTCGATGATAATAAAATAAAGCGACTAGTTCGGAGTTCCGTTTGGCTTATAACAATTGTTATGTGTATAATTCGATAGAATTTTTAGTGTGTGTTGCGGAAAAATCCCTCACTTTCAGATTTTTAGTACCGACTCTGTTTCTGGAAAATGACGAAATAATTAATGTTTTTAAACAATCCTTTTTCCTATGGCAACGAAGAAGTTTCAGCCGACTGAAACTTACCCAGATGTGGTGAAATTGATCCTAAATCTAATAAGAAACCGTTCAAATTTTGCTCACCAGAACACAACGCATTATCAACCTGTCAAAAAAACAGTAAAGGATATCTTGTATGCTTTTTGTGTTGGGGTTGCAAACATTGGCCGGCTACATAAAGATGTCTTGAACTCTTCGTCACTCCTGTTGTCCTGGTACATATGGGAACAAAATTCTACTTGTGTGAAATGTGGGAATCTGTTGGAATGTTATACATCGCTCATACGTTTATCACACCCTAGTACCAATGGGAATTTAACGCAACCCTTCCATGATGCGTGTGAACAGTTGCAAGGTTTTTTTGTTTTTGAGTGATAGTGAACGTTTTGTACTTTTTATGCTTTTGTCATTAAAATTTGTAACGGTATTTATTACTTTAATTCATGAGTATAACTTAGCCGAATATAACTAATTATATTGTTATTGTTTACTTACAAAAGTTTAATAATAATAAACATTGAAATCATTTGTTTAATTAAAAAGCTTGGAGCAAAAAGATCTTAATTAATTAGCTCCTTCATTTTCGTCAAACGGCTCGTTTATTCCTTAGCAGTTGCTTTAAAAGTAAAATGAAATAGTTAATTTGGAGCATTAAGTAGAATAACAAAGGTCCGGCTAATGTGCGCCTGCTTCCCCGGCCGTGCAACTCAACATCCCTGTTACATTAGCGTAAATTAGAGCAAATTAAGCCGGGCGCACATAGTGTTGTGTAAAATTAAAATTACCAGCACTGCAGCACACCACGAGAGCGCAAACAGAAAAGAATTTCATTAAAAATATTTCGCATGCCGTCGCTGCGTCGTTACACTGCAGGCTCTATTAAACAGAAAGCTTTGAAATTGAAAATTTCTGCCTTGATGCGCGCCGTTAGTATGGACGAATAAACGCGCCAAGTGGATTATGCTTTAATACGCTAGCCAGCGTCTGTTGGCTTATCCTAACTTTTTAACTCCCACTGATTGTTTCAGAAGTCACCCACTTTATGTTCGTGGTACGTTTTCTAATCAAATTGTATTGTTTTAGGCGGAAATATGGTCAGTGTTCATCGCAATATTGCGCAAGAGTGTGCGTAACCTTCAAGCCTGTACAGACGTTGGCCTCATACACCATGTGCTGCAGAGGCTACCGCGCGCTGAGACAGTCGTCGCTGGTAAGTAAAGTCCTATGCCGTAGTTATATGACCCTGGTATACGTGTGAGCAATTTCTCCACGGGATTCCTCGTAAGGGATCACCTAATAATAAACATGGCACCGCCCCATACTAAATGATTTTAACCCTCCGTTTATTTTAAAGTTATTCTAAACAATTTACTGCTAAGGACTTTAAGCTTTATTCTCATACTCCTTTAGTATAAAATCGAGTTCTTTGGCAGAACATGCACCTGTTCGACAGAAAGAGGCGAAAAACTGTTGCGTGTGTTTTTTATTTAGTTGGAGAACTCCTCTTTTTACTTTATGTTACCCTGGTATTTGAAGAAAATACAAGAATAAGAATAGTCCTTTCTTAAGTAACTACTTGAACATGTTTAAGAAAGTACTTCGCTTGCTTTAATTATACTAAGAAAAGTAAACAAATAAATGCAGGAAGTTGTTAACAACAATTTGTGAATTACTGAATCTTTTAGAAAGTATAATTTACTTTGACGTGTTGACGTTTTAAAGGAGAAGACGACACGTCACACGACTCAGCGAAGTGAAAAATCAGAAATAATTTGATCTGACTTATTTTTTCCTTATGAATTTTCCCCCTTGTGTAAAAATCTCGTTATTCTCAACAATATCCGTTATGGTAAACTCTTGAACGAGTAGCGTCGCATAATATTATACCCTCATGCGTAGTTAAAGTGTTTCACGGATATGTTGTAAGTATGCTCATGTGCGCCTCTTATTTGTATTGTTAAATCGTTTTATTTTTTGATTCAATTTGCTTCTTATTTCGGTACACCTAATTTAGCTAATTTCGTCGGTGTGGATGCAAGTACTATATTTATTGAACAAACCCGTTTTGTAATTAACGAATCCCTGGAGGCCTCAAGCGTAGGTCACAGCGTTTAGTTGAAAACACGTAAAAGAGCTACGTCTTTTCCACGTACGCCATGCAGTGCATGACACCCATTGTGTTCTATGTTCACCTGGTACCTCTCTCCCTTCATTTCGCTCGTTCTTTATTTTGCACGTTACCTTTGTATGGAAACGGGGTCAATGTGTCCCCGAGCATGAGATGAGTGTGTATTGGGACGCTGCATGTGTGTGCATTTGCACGTCCAATGGTGATACCATTAAATAAAATTAGACCATGGTCATTCATTCCATTCGTTCTGTTTATTACGCAGAAAGAGATATTGCAGGTACTTACTTCACTTACGATTTCGATTTCTTTCAGTTCAATACAATACTTTATATAAAGCTATTAGGTATAGAAAACATCTTAGTATTAATTTTATGTAAAGAAACCCAAATAATTGTTACAAGTAAGTACCCTGGGGAGTCCCCTAGGAAATTAAATCTATACTAATATTATAAAGAGGAAAGATTTGTACCTATTTTTGTATTGTTTGGATGTTTGTAATGAATAGGCTCAAAAAGTACTGGGCCGATTTAAAAAATTCTTTAGAATTTACAATCTTTTAACAAATAGAATGCTACATTCTTCCAATTTGACATAGGCTAAATTTAATTTTGAAAAAATTAGGGATCCTTGGTAAAATTTGAACAATGTAACCGAAGGTGTAGAAAAATTAGTCTTAAAACGTCTTTTCGAATGCGCTGCCGAAACTACTAGCGATAGAACAATGTACAACAATATTGAACAACATCATAATGTCTACAAAAAACTCCGCGGTAGCATATGTCCAACTATTGTAGTTATGTCACTACAATAATCCAAATTTCCAAAAATAAATAATTGTCTACCCCGTGCGAAGCCGGAACGGGCTGCTAGTTATTAGATCTATACATATAATAAAATTGTAGAAAAGTGCTGTCTGTACATTGAAAATAAAAATAAAAAAGATAGCAGGGGCTATTGTTATGTCGATGTCGAACCCAAAAATGTAACTAACTTTTTTTTGTCTGTTTGTCTGTTTGTCTGTTCACGCTAATCTCAGAAACGGCTTATCCGAGTTGGATGCGGTTTTCACGAATATATTGTGGTATGCTTCAGTTATGCTTTAGTGTTTGTTTCATGTCAATCGGTTCATAAATAAAAAAGTTACGTCAAATTAAAGAATCACGTCGAACACTATCTATCTATCTATCTATACATATAATAAAATTGTAGAAAAGTGCTGTCTGTACATTGAAAATAAAAATAAAAAAAATAGCAGGGGCTATTGTTATGTCGATGTCGAACCCAAAAATGTAACTAACTTTTTTTTTGTCTGTTTGTCTGTTTGTCTGTTCACGCTAATCTCAGAAATGGCTTATAAATATATATATATTTAACAGGGTGCGGAAAAGGTGATAGTGGTTTTATTCCTCAGATTCCTCTCATTCCAAAAAATTTTCCGTTTAATTTTAAACGAATTCAGTTTCCAGTGAGCCTATGTTTCGCCATGACAATTAATAAAGCTCAAGGTCAGACTCTAAAAGTTGTGGGTATAGATCTAAGTATCAGCTGTTTTTCGCACGGTCAATTGTATGTGGCTCTGTCCCGTGTTAGCAATCCCAGCAGCCTGTATGCTTTCACCCCCGATGGCCATACGTCTAATATTGTATATAGAGAAGCATTACAGTAAAGTAGGTTTTTTAGCTACCCAAAATGACTGTGATTATGATCCAAATCTAAAATAAAAATAAGTATATATTTAAAAAAAAAACGCTGCTCATAGTCACTATTCTACGCGAACGAAGTCGCGGGCACAGCTAGTATATAATAATAAGATGAGTTAATGAAGGTTAAATGTAACAACGTGGGATAAAAAGTAAATTGGAGGCGCCGGGTATCGATCCCGGTACCTCTCGCATGCTAAGCGAGCGCTCTACCATCTGAGCTACGCCCCCTTGTTGTTATTACATAAAAAACGCATTCTCTTTATCGGCTCCTGGTATCACAATCACTGTACATTCACTTACGAGGTCACTACCAACGTCACTGCATAAATCGCAATACATACATAGATTTACGTCCGAATATTGGAATTCTAGTTAAAACTCATCCTTCAAAATTCCCAAATAACCTACTAATTTCGGCATTATAATCAAAATCAGGTCACCATATTCAGATTTCAATGAAACGAAAATTAACAGCAATGTATCTAAATTCTATAGTTAGACCACGTATCCAATTTGAAACTTCACGAAATTAAATAAAATTACTAGAATCACTAGATTAATTAGTTTATTGGTAACATTAGCAATAAATCTAATTTACAATATAATCATAGTTATCGTCGAGTCAACTGCTTAAGTGATGTTTACTGTAGTTATCGGACTAGGCCTACAAAAGTACAGAAATGGTAATGGCAGGCTCGGCCTAGTTTACAACGTACGCCACAACGGCCTGTGTTGGCTATGTCAATAACAGTTTTATTGCCATTCAGGTTTGTGTTGCCTATTTGTACAGCAAACGCAAATAGAAAATGTGGAAATGTTTTTTGAAAAAAATACCATTTTATATGTTCTGTTTAATGTACGCAAAATAGGTATAATGAGCTAAACTGGTGTTGGTGTAAGTAAGTTCAAAATAATGCGTTGTCAACTGCCAAAAACAGGCATCCCTTGCATATCCTGGTCATTTCTGAATCCCTAGTTTGTGTGTGAACGACAGGAATCAGTAACGTTCATTCGTTACAAAAACATGAGCCCACTGTCCCCTTTCTTTTTTTATTTAGTCCCTTCTCGTGAGAACTTTACCTGATTTTTTTAATGTTCATCTTTTGTTGACACGATATCCTATTGACTTCTGCCATCCTAGTAAAGGTGTGAATAGATTTAACTAAATATAATTAACTAATTACATTTTAAAAAGGAAAGCTTTCTTATTGTCCCTATTCCCATTATTACTTCGTTCTTTACTTCTTATGCTTAGCTTATACGAATATCGATGTATTATTTCTTTCTTTACATTGCATATTGTTGACACGGTATCCTATTCACTTCTGTTATTCTGGTAAAGCTCTGACTAAATTTTAACCATCGCTTAAATTTAGTTCCTTTAAGTTAACCAGGAAATAACTTCTAATATATTCTGTTCATTCTTCTTATAACTTTTGTGCCTTATGACGTTGAACATACGTTACATATTTCGTTGACACAGTATCCTATTCGCTTCTGCTATCCTAATTAAGCTTTGGTTAAATTTTAACCGCTGGTTAAAGTTATGGGTAACTTTAAATAGCAATTTTTATTACGAAGAAGGCGAAAGAGGCCTTTACTTTTTTATCTTACTGACTTCTGCTATCCTAATAATACTTTGATTAAATTTTACCAACGATTAAATTAGTGAAATAAATTTTACCAAGTTAACCAGGGAATAACTTTCACTTTCATTTTTCTTAAAATTTTTGCATTTTAAGACATTGAGCATACGATACATATTTTTAATTGGCACGGTGTTCTATTGACTTCTGCTATCCGAGTAAAGCATTGTCTAAATTTTAAACGCTGGTTAAACTATGAGTAACTTTAAATAGCAACATTAGTTAACTTTACACTTAGGGCCCTTTTCACCAAGCTCTGTAAAAACTCAGTTACACGTAACCTAAGTTTAAAGTAACCTAAGTTTAAAGACTCGTGTGGATCTGGGTAATCTGAGTTTACGTCAAACCGATTTCTCCGACACCATCCCACCAAAACTAGTTTACAACGAGAGAGTT